CACCAGCACTAAAACAATGGACAACAAAGTGCTCAACCGCGTTGACTGTAACAATCCCTTTACAAACCAGGCAATAAGGGCAATCGTAGCAAGGGAAGAGATCAAATACGCAGCATTAAAACCTGTATACTCGGAGAATGATAGTAACAATGTGTAGAAAAGAATAAGCGCTAGACCGATCAATGCGTATTGAAAAGGGTGAACCGAACGCTGGTTAACTGTTTCTATAATGAAAAAAGCAGCAAACGTCAGGAGAATACAAAGAATCGCGTATTTGATCGAGCGCATCGTCTTTTGGTAGCCGTTCACCGCAATAAAAAGGTCAGCGCCAAAAGATGCTGCCTGCAGATTATAGGAACTCTCAATCCATGCCTGCGGGAATGGCCGCGTATGCGCCTGGCTTTTCCATGTCGCGGAAAATCCGTCCTTCGTGATCTGGTGATCAGGCAACAACCCACCGGTAAAGCTTGGATCAGGCCAGGAGGAATTCAACGTAACCGTCGTCAGTTTTCCTACTGGAGTGAAAAGCAATTGCCGGGAGCCATTGAGTTCAATAGCAGACGAAAAGTTCACCTCTTTGCCTGGCTCTATTACGCACGGGCGAAACATAGGCTTCGCGCATGATCGCATTGTTCACTGCCGTTGGAGCAAGGGTAAGTGAAAAGTCGTTCCACTTCATAGATATGTCTTCCTTCAACCCTTTTGGATCAGCGATCGACATACAGGTGTAAGCCTCCTGCCAAAGAACATCAGCGGGATCGATCTTTAGCTGACGTAGTTGTTCGAAGTTGAATTTCCCACTCAAATTAATTTTTGATGAATACAGCATTACTTCAAAAATGCCCCGATATCTTTTCTCAGGTGATACGGTCGATTTTACGACAAGGTTTTCCGGCAGGAGATACGCCAGTTTCCGCGTGCCCGTATTTACAATTGATTTGTCGAGGAAAGGTAGTACCAGCACGGGGCCCGTCAAAGTCTGACTGCCCGCCCATTTACCGCTGATCTCTGCAAAAGCTTCTTCCTGGCGCGCCTGTCTTTCGCTGATCAGGTTCTCGACAAAATAGGCAGGTATCATCAACGCGAGTGTCAATACCCCGATCAGCATGGCTTTGATAAGCAGTTTACTGCGTTGCCAGATGGTGGATACAAGTGGTTCCATGGTGTTACAATATTTTATGATTGTTGGTTAAATTGTTCCGCGAGTTTCTTTATCGTGAGGTATAGGAATGACATAAACAATGCATAACAGGAAATCATACCCCACTCCATCGTGTTATCGATCGGGTCAAAAACCATATTACGCATGGAATTAAAAAGAGCAAATGGCTGGGTTACGACATCCCAGCTATTATACCGTAGGTATCGACCGATGTAGATACCCAATGCATTTAACCACATCACGACAAAAATGATGGTGACTGAAAACCTTCCCCCGAAGATGGCGCCCATCAGCACTTCAATAGCCCGAAGGGATGCAATGCCAAATAGCAACCCGTTTAGTGCGAAGGATAGCAATAACAAAAGGTCAAACCATTTTGGAGCGGTGAGAATATGACGTAAGTGAAAAAGGTCCGTGAGAATATAAAAGGAGTTGGGAATGAACAAAACCCACAACGCAAGGGTCGGTACAAGTATCCATTTGTTGTCGATCGCATTTATGTTGTTGGTGAGCCAGGAGCTGATGAGATAAGGCAGAATAGCAAGAAACAGGTTCCATAAAAGAAACGCGTATGTCAGCGTTCCTGTTGCCGTAACACGCGCGCAAACCAATAAGAAACTGAAGCTACAGGATGCGACAAACCAATGATGAAGCGAGAAGGTTACGCG